ACAGTATCAAAATGTCGACAACAGAACTTCAAACATAATCTTGACAGTTATCACAAAAATAAATAACATATTAATATACATTATAGCTATCTACTTGCAATCGTCTCACTATAAAAAAAAAAAACGAGGGACATGGTAGTGATGCATCATACAACATACAAATTAGGCTTCAAAAAGTCTATACCTTATAAAATTTTAGATACCCCGAACAAAACTTCAAGCATTGCATCTAGTGCAGTTGAGAGAAGAACAAAAAATCGAAAACAAGGCAGAGTTCAATCACCCAGAAAAATATGTACCCGCGGTCCGTGTTGAGAAAGTAACGACCTTCTCTTTTTAGTGGTTAACTCCGGTGCTTCATCCTCGATTTGTCTCTTACCCTTGTTTTGCAATTTGTTCTTCGTCTCCACAGATTTGGGACTGCAATCCAAGACTCTTTCACACATAGGATGGCCATTGTAGTGTTTTGATTGTGAGACTATATTGGTAGAAAGGGTAATGCAACGAGTAGGGGTGTTAACCACTCCATTTTTTGGTACGACAATCTCACTAGAATTGGACGACGCTTCTGAATTCTGGGTCTTGACGGATCCCAAAGACAACTGGCATTTCGGTGGTGCCACAACTGGAGTCTTCCACATTTCGCATCATCGATACCGAGCCCAAAGGAGGGTTGTTATTTCCAATAGCCATGGTAGAAAAATCATAAAAGTTGAGAAGTGATGTCGAAAATATCTAGTTGACACACAACGCATCGGGGCTAGCGTTTCATACGCATGAACCGAATCAAACATAAAACTGGAGAATCAAACTCGTTTAGGGAATGATGTTGTGTGTAATATTCTCTGCAGCAGATCTGTCGGAGGTTGAATGCACGATATCTACATAAGAATTTCTTTGGTGGCTAATTTCGGGAGAGTCGAGAAATTGGGGATTCTGGAAGAAGAATATAGGCCCCGTTTGGTAGGGATTTTTTGCCCAAAAAAATTGATTTTTTAACCGTTATTTTACTATTCAAGCCGTAATTTTAGACTTCTTCTCTCACATGTGGACCCCACTTTTCTTCTAACAGTTAAAAAATCAATTCTCAAAATCCCTATCAAAGGGGGCCTATAAAGGGATGCCAATTTGGGAATTTTTTGGTTCGATAAAGCGTAATATGGGGATGTTTGATGTGTACGGAATTAAAGGCACATTTGGGGGAGAAATCTAAGCTGCTGGAAAAATTGATTATTAGATGGCCACCTTTTCACATTCCAAAATTACTGTAGGAAAAGCAGTAAATATGATTAAAAAATTGTGGGATAGTAAATCACAAATATTTTTTAGAAAGTGGGTGTTTGGCATAATTTCCACAAAAAAATATCACTCTCGTGTTCTGTATCTATCGAATATTAGATTTAGGCTCCAAAGGCCCAAATGACCTTTAGATAAGCAAATTTGAGTTTTCAGTCTAGTAAAAAGACAAAAAGAAACTTATTTGTTATAAGGATAAAAAAACTAAATTGTAAAAAAAATAAAAAATAAAAATAATAATAAAATCCTCTTCTATTTATAGGGGAATTCGGGGACATATTGCAATTATTACTTTCTAAAATAATATTTCTGACTCACGGTAAATTATAATTATGATTTTGCATTTTTACATATAAAATATCTATTATAAGACCATAGAATCCCTAAAAATTCTAAAAAATTGTAAAAAAATTTCAGGATGGTATTAAAAAGAGAGAGAGAGAGAGAGAGAGTACATTGAATTTGATAAACATTTAAGAAAGGACATGCACTTCAAGAAATTACAAATTAATGAAATATCATGTGCAACATGTCTTGGAAGATATAGCAAAGAAAAACTTCTACCTCTATGATATCATGTTAACAGAGGTGTTGCCTCCTAATTCAAGTAGACAAGTCGAGAGGCCTAAAGATAAACAAATTGATCAAAAGGAGAAATAGATGAAGTCAAAAGATATGAAAGGTTCAAGGAGTATGGTTACAATTGAAGAACATGAAAAAATGCAATGCCCTTGCCTCTGAAGTTGAGCAAGAAAAGAAAGAAACGAGATTGATCTATTTATCAAAATGTTACAATCTATGATGCACATATTTGACAAAGTTTAATATTGTGTTTTCATTTAATATTTCATCGAAAGTTGTGTAATTATAACAATGAGCGTTTAGACATCTATAGGTCATGTTTTAGATAATTTTGATTTTAGCAAATATTCATCTAGAAATAGTGGATGGCAACATGGCAAGTTTGAGGTGGGGCGCCTCCACCCTGCCTTGCCCCGTCTCGCCCAAACCTCTCCCCAGCCCACGCTTCACCCCGCCTTAGACGGGGCAGGGTGGGACGCAGGGCGTGCGGGGAAGGAGTGGGGCAACTTTTTTTCCCATTTGTTGCCCCATTTATTTTTTATATTTTTATTTTTTACATTTTCAAAATTTTTTCGAGTTATGTCATTATTAGAGAATAAAATACAAATCAAAAATGGGTTTTTAATGAGGTGAATTGTCTAGAAATAAAAATATTTTTAATCTTTTTTTTTCCCCCTTCATGGGGCGAGTTCAAGGCGGGACATCCTCGCCCCACCCGCCCTATGCCCCGCGACGGGGCGCCCTGCCTTGCCTCGTCTCATCTATCAACCCATTGAAGGTTGATTTTTTTGTCCCATTTGGGGCGAGGCCTCGTCTAAACAAGGCGGGTGAATTTTTTTGTCATCACTATCTAGAAACATAATTGAAAAGGCATTCTGTAGTTCAATTCCACTTCTTATAACTTTATTATTTTGTGAACCATCAAGTTATCTAGAGACTTACATATTCTTTGTTCGTTTTCCACTTAATATAATACTTGGTAAAATTGAATCCAAAATGACGTGATAAATAGAAGGCATCGACACGTGGGGTCGTTAGGACAATATATGCTACCAATTTCTTCTTAAGCAAGTAGAAGAATCTATGTTATTATAATCTGTTACGTGCTTCGGATATGGATTGAATAATAGGTCGATTGACGGATAAGGACCAAGGATCGTTCTTGTGTTGACGACCTATAATGGTGATATGGTTGGACACTTCGAGGGGTCCGAAGCCTCCTTGTATTGGTTAATTCGAGTAAACCAATAAAACTCCTAAATCAACACAAGGTTGAAGACAAATTCATTTTATGGTTATTACAAGATACCTCTTTATAGGAAAAGCAAATTACAAGAGCAAAGATTATTGTAATAAAAGAGCAAAATGGAAAAACAAATTATAAGGCTAATCTTAATTGGAACTAAAAGAGAAATCAGGACATCAGGAAATTAGGCAATTATCTTGGCCAAGATAATTGTCTAATTATCCGTTACAACTCCTTCCCCCTTGGAAATTTCCTTGTCCTCAAGGAAATAAGGAAATCGGTTATTGAAATCATCAAAGTCCTCCCAAGTGGCATCGGCTGGAGAAAGATTCTGCCAATGGATCAACAATTCATATTTCCCTTTAATCGGGTTTCCAAAACTGCCTGAGGAAGTTGGTGTGGGGCAGATTCTTGTGGGATAGGTGGCAAGGAAGTTGCAACAATGTCATGATCCCCAATGCTTTTTTTAGGAGTGAAACGTGGAAGACCGGATGTATCTTAGATCCTGTGGTAATTTCAATTTATAAGCCACGTTCCCAACTCTGGCCAGAATTTTTTATGGACCAAAGAACTTGGGGCTAAGCTTCAGGTTCTTCCGTTGAGCTAAGGACAATTGCTTATATGGTCTTAATTTTAGGTAGACAAATTCCCCCACTTGAAATTCCTTCTTTGAGTGTTTGGCATCATAAAACTTCTTCATTCTTTCTTGTGCCAACTTGAGATTGTGCTTGATATCCCGAATAACCACATCACGTTCAAGAAGAAATCTTTCTACTGAAACCACTCTTGCCATACCATGGACATAAGCAAGAAGAGTAGGTGGTTCCCGCCCATAAACTATTTCAAATGGAGTCTTTTTTGTGGATGAAT